GTAAGTTAAGTTAGTTATTTGTCCTAAACAGGTATTGTCTTTCTTAAAATATCCTTACTAATCAAGTGTATTGACTAGAACTATTATTGTTAGAAAGACTACTTTGGATTAAAAAAATATAAATATAAGAGACAAAATGGATTGGGGTTTTATATTTAGAATCAAAATAAAAATCAAATAGGGCTTTATATTAAAAACTGGAGGTAGTAATAATTAATACGCAATAATCACAGCCTCAAGTACAGCACAGCTAAGTATGAATTTGGCAAGTAACGAATGCACACTGAGATCATAAAAAAGGAGAGAAGGAAGTGAAGAGGCACATACCGGGAGAATCATTTAGGTTGTACTGCACAAGAAACTCTTGACCTAAAGCTTTTAGAGGGTCGTGGTAACAAGTTTCTATTGAAACCGGCACCTGAATATGATGCTTACAATTGTCAACAAGGTAGGGGTCATTGGCGACATCTTCTGGACCAAAAGCATAATTGTTAGAACTGGGATTGGAGCTTGTCCGAGGCTGGCATGCGAATGGGACTCCCACAGACGAATACACTTGGCAGTCGTAGAATAGGGTCACGTTCTTCACAGATGGCTCGTCGTAATGGAAGAGATTGGGCGGGGCAATCACCGAAGTGTCGGACAAATGTGAGGAGGAGCAATTATTATGGACAAAGTCCGTTCGCACCAGGCTAGTTTCATCTTGTGAGAGTCCGGATCAATCCACGTGACATTGAAAGTCTGTGAACCGATTTGAATGGAAGGGTAATCATGCTCATCATGGAGACAATTGAGCTGGAACCCATGTTTGCGACAATACTCGGGTCCAATTATGTCTGACCAGAAGGGGTAATTGATATCTCCCACTGCTCCACAAGGGGTTGGGAGGCACTCCTTGTTTGGTTGGGAGCAGGAAAGCGGGAAAGAGGAAAGGAGGAAGGAGAAGGTGAGGAATAGCATATGGGCCTCCATTGTTAACTCCCTGCTTTATGAGGCATGCTGCCTCAACATTTGTCAGTCCCAGCTTTTGGTCTTGGGTCAATGCAGACTTTGCCTTCACAATGAGAGGCTGCCATCCTCTCATCATGTATTTTCTTGATTTTTCAGGAAGAAACCCCTCAATCCTAAAATCCTCTCTTCTTCCAAATACTCAATCAGGAAACACCACTCACTTCCCTTTCTCCATTTTCATACTATTTTCAAAACGGCCCCACTTGTTAGCTTTAATTACCTTTAATTACTCCTTCTAACAAAACTCTTATTGCTAAAATGATGCCATTATAGTCTTTTGTACACCAATACTACTATTAATATTTCTGTACCAATAAAATTGAAATATTTTATAATGCACTAAGGAGTCACACTATTTGAACATGGTCACATTGGGGAAATTTCCAGTTGTAAATGAAGATCAAGTTCTGTCTTTATTAAACGTGTGATTTTGTATTTCTATTTTTCCTATTACAAACTTGTTTCTTTTCCCCTGTTCAAAGGTTTTAAGGTTGATTGTAGATGTAGATATTGTTTTGATATAAAATATGATAACTATTCAAATTGATACTTAAAGCTACCTCATTAAAATTTAATTTGAGCGTGCTACAACCAAGAAAAGTTGGATTGCTGGTAAATAAAAACGAGCTGGGTACTATAGCAGATAAATCATATAGAAGCAAACAGGGCAACCAAGCCTTTTGTTTGTTTCATCGTGGATTGGGTACTTTATTTGACTAATAACTTTCAATTTTGTTAAGACTTCAACTATAAAATATCCCTATCGAACAAGCGAAAGGCTTATTAACAATGTGAAAGTGGACGGAAGCGATGTCAGGAGATACGCACGTGACTTCGAAACCATCTCTCCCACAGTAATAGCACGATATCTGTGATCATCTTTTGAACTCGGGGATTGTAGCAGAGTCGGTGCTAGCAAGAGGCAGAACAAGACGGAGTTGCAGAGTGTGCACGGAAGCATGCGACTAAAGGGATTCCTTACGTCAGAGAATAACAGTGTCTGGTGGTGCTTTCGATAAGCACTTGATAGAAAACAGGGGGTGAGGGGAAGAGACAGAACCTAACGGAATTAAAATAACTATTTAAAAAAAAAAAACATAAATCTGGATTATCTAAATTTTATCTGGACAATTTAGTTAAGATGAGCTCTGAATACTCATCTTTAAGATAAGCATTTAAACTCGTTCCAAACCTAATGGAATTATATATATATATTTTCAATGCCTTGTAACTTGGTTGCTTAATTTAGCATTTTCCTGGATGTACGTTCTACTCTGCATAATACATCATGCTAAACCCATGCCAAAATATGAAACCATATTGAATCTCATCTCTTTCATCATTTTCATCATGACACAAACACACTTCTCTTCCTATAACAGAACTAGCTCGATTAGACTAAAATCTTTATTTATTCAATCTTATTTCTAAAATTTAGCGAGCTTAAATGAGCTAGACCATGAGATCAAATTTGAATTACCAGCTCTACTAATAAAAACAAATTAGGATCATCATTTTGTGAAGCAGAGAAGAAGAAAACACACACTGTTGTGACTGCAACAAAAGTTCTGGTGTTGGTGTCTCTACTGGGTCATCAGGAAAATAAAGCCCACGTTGTTCATAACTTTGATTAGGACAGAAACATGTGAATCTATCAAAACTTACATCGTACCCACATCTCCCACCTGAAATTCTGCAATCTTCACACCGCCCCCTTCTGTCATTTCCCATTTAACCTCAAAACCTTGACCAATAATATGATTAGGGTCTACAGGATCCTCCATGAAACTTCCCACTATCTCCCCAAGAACAGGAACTGTAATACTAATTCCGCATCCCAAAGCAGCCCAGTTAAACGATCCGTCGTTGATCAGCATAAAGTATGCTTTGCGAGGATTACCATTTACGGGGCAGTCAAATGTCATGTTAGTCGACAGATTCACAAGAGGAGGCGTGTAGTCTAAAGATTCACAGTCAAATAATATGGTAGAGTTCACATTATTGGAAGTGTAGCTGAAGAAAGCATAACCCAACGTGATGTTGTTGAATTCGTTCGGACAGTCGGTGCCCCACCAATCCATGCTTGCTATTTTAAGAGTTCTTGTGGTTGAATTGACATCGATGACACGAAAGTTCTCGGACGCGATGTTCATAGTAACATTGTCTCCTTCACAATCCAGTTTGAAGCTTGGATGCCGACAATAACCAGGCCGTGAATCGAACCAGAATAGATAACCAAGGTTGGTGAAGTTTCCGCAGTTAAACGGCTCGCAAGCTGAGAACCGTTCATCAGCAACGGTGAAATATTCTGGGAACAAGGGAATGAAAAAGAGGAAGGTCTTGAAGAAGAGTAGTTGAGAGGGAAGAACACAATTAGGATGACCCATGTACGGTATGATTGCAACGAAGCTCTGTGTTTGAAATGGCCAATAGCGATGACAGGAATAAAATTAAATCAAAGTCAAACGATAAACCCTTCATGTAGTGGGCCTCATGAGGCTCGATCAAGATGGCTCTGACTCCTTGAGGGAACACGAATTGGAGACGGCTCATATATCCATTAGCTTCACACCTACTGGTTTGGATTAATACGAATATTATGAATGACACAGAAAACGTGAACTTTAGACCTTTCCATATACAAGACTGGACTTTCATATAACATTATGGAGTATGACCAAATAATAATAATAAAAAAAGGGCATGAGGGGTGATTTTAAGACGAAGGTTGATGGAAGAGATGAAGGATTCTCTCCGTTGATGATTATTTTGAAACAATTATTTCCCCGTAAAATACTGTGTTATTAAACAAAACGAGTTTTATATACAAGCAGTCCATCAAATGTTATTTCAAACTGCTGACCATTATACATTCCTTATTTATTAGTCATATGGTCAAAAGTCAAGGCATCTAATTGTCCATGTATCTATCGGTCGTCTTTTTAAAAATATCAAAATATGGGTCTTTTCTCACCAACAATTTCTTTTTTTTTTGGGTTTCTTGATATAGAAACTAAAAAAAATCTCCAAAAAAATATTAATAATTAATCAAAATTAATATATAATATAAAAGACCACAAAACCAATAAGTTTCAAAAGATTTCAATATATATATATATATACACACACGAAACCCTTTTTAGAAATTAGACTATTCTTTGAGTCCAGCTAATTTAGATTATTCCAATATTTCTATTTGTTGCACAAAAAAACTTTTTGAGTTCCCCGTAGAAAGAGATTTCGCTAACGAAAAAGCTTTCAATGCTACCCAATATGCCTTCTTCCAAATTGTTTTCCGAATCCTTTTTTTTGACATAGAAGTGCATTTTTTTAGAGCTGCCATTCCAAAATTAGACTAGCCAATAGGACTCTGGATTGGGCTATTTCGTTTGTATTTGGGCCTCAGGTGTTTTGGGCTTTCACATGTATGAGGTCAATAATTAGGCCCCATATGTCAAAGAATTTGTCTGCCGCGTGAGATCAAGCAAGACTACAGAACACAGCTTAGCCACAAAATGGTCCTAATTAGAAAACTCAATCTTACGAAAGGACTGGTCATTAGTCAGTTTGAAGTTTGAGCTTCCTATATGTTAAGGCACAGTTTCATCAAAACCGCTTCATCATCTACACGTAACTTCTACCACAGTTTTCACAGGGCAAACCATCTCAGAATAAATAGTACTAATAATTTACCTTTCATTCCATGTGCATATAAATTAATGGCAGATTTCATTCATGCATGCAGCAACAACAACAAGAGAGCAAGAGAGAGAGAGAGAGAGAGATTATTCAAATCAAAGGCCAAGGATATGACGGTCTAAATTCTCCGTGAAATCAACAACAGACTGCTGAAAACTACTTGCTATAAATTGCTTATTAATATGAAATTTAAGCCTCGCACTTCATTTATGTGCAAAGACACTAACAGGAAATTAGAGAGAGAAAGATATGAGATGCAGATGGGATCAATTACAAGAAAGAGAAGTTACCTTTGCTGCAGCTTTTGGTTGCGATACTGCCATCCCGCAAAGCATAGCGCCTGATGATTGGTTGGATTGCGCCCACAAAATCCTCCAGATATCTCACACTCAGAGCAATCCATGGCACTCCGCCAATCAAGCACAAAGCCCTTGGTCATAACTTCACGAAACCCAGTTGCCAAGGTTTCACTACTGATCTCTGCCTGCTTCACCACTACTACCACCACCTTCTCCTCACATTCTATATTCAACCCATATGTGTCCCACGGCGTCGTCTCCACATATGACTGCTTCGATCCTTCATTTTTCAAGCACCGTATGGGGTCGGAAGGAAGATTATTGACTTTATTAGATACGCTGCAATTGAAGTAGAAAGTCAGGTTCATATTCAGGTGATTATTAACACTCAGTGGGAGGTTTCCTAAGCTAACATTTTGGCGTGCTCTGGGGCAGGGTTGGTCCACCACATCCGTGTCCACAAGTGTTACTGTATCATCATCGTAGTTTATATCTGTGACATAGTATGTGCCGTCTGGAAGACTGATGATGGTTCGGCCATGTTCGGAGCATTTGAGACCAAAATTAGGGTAACCGCAGTATTCTTGGGTGGAATTGTTGTTCACCCAGAAAGGATACCGAATGGGAACTCTATCACGGCAACCAGCAGGGGGGGGGGCATATTGAAGAAGATGACACTTCCGCAATACTGTGCGTGAGGCAGAAGAAGGAGAGAGCGGCAATGAAGTACCGGGGTTTTGACATGATAATCTGTCACCAACTGCTGCTAAAAAAATATGTAAAGGCGGTTCAATATATAGATCTAGACACAGAAGGACAGAAAAAAGAGGACCAATTTATAGTGCTAATGTGAAAAGAATCGATATGCTCTAAGAAAGAGGGGAAGGAAAGTCCAGAATGATCATTTCGGGGGAGGAATAAAATAAACTAGATTTACTTTTTATTCATATAAAAATGAACTGGCATATGTTTGTACTTTGTAGGAAGTTTCTGTGTGCATGAATTGGGCTGAACGTACGGGAAAAGATAGGAAAAAAGTTGGTAAGACTGTAGACCCGAGTCCGGCTAAAAGTTTGGAAGATATATTTTCCAAAGATGAGATGGCTACTTGTGAGACAAGAATGAAAGTAGAAATAATAATAATAAAATTGAAGTTTGAAGAATAAAATAAGAGAAAACGCGTGGGTGATACGTTCATTTACTTATAACAATGGTTCTTTTAGGATATGATAAAGCAATTTGAAGGAGATTGAGTGCACTTGAACAAGTGGGAAGTGAATAAATAATGGGAGATTTGTTGGGGCAATGGAAAACAGTGGATGTGCACCAATAAAGAAATACACAAGTGCATCCAGCGGTAACATGATATGATAGTCTCGAACTGAAAATTTGAAGGGCTAATAAAATGCCAAAATAGTACTTCTTCTTGTTTTTAAATATAAGACATATTTTTTGTAGTGTAAATTGTTTTTACATCTAGGAGGAGTATTATGTTCAATCTGTGGGCTGGGTTGGTCCGTCGTTTGGGCGTCCTCCTTATCTATAAGTCTCAAGTTATATATACACGTGTATTGATTATACATTTATTGATCCAGGCTCTAGGCTGGTCAAAGATGTATTTAATGATCTTCGAGCAATGAGTTCAAACAAAAAAATATTCCAAGTAAATAACACTAAATATTTATGTGGCAGTTGAAATTTCCAAAATACAACTATAAAAAGGGTTATTTTCTTCTCTATTTTCGTATGAATTTAAAAACAGAGAAAAAAAAACACTATATTTGTCTATTTAGCTAAATTAGATAAGTAAAGGGCTTCATACTGGTTTGTTAGCCCGAACAGACAAGTATTGGGCCACACATTCTTTTGTTAGGCCCAATAGACAAGTATAGGGCCTCTTATTTTACAAAAAAAAGATAGTTCCTAATCGTGCTCTCTCCTTCCCTTCCCTTAGCTCGCATTCTCTCCCCGTTTCCTCCCTTAGCTATCCGTCGTCCCTCTTTCCAACTCACGAAGTTTGCATTCTCCCCCATTTACTCAAAATTGCTTATATATTAATAGAATAGATTGTAATTAGATAAGTGCTTTGAGAATGAGTGAGGAATATGAAAAAAGAATAGAACAATTTATTGAATTTGTTAACAGCAATACTTATAACAAAAAAAGAAAGTGTTTTTGTCCATGTGTCAATAGTTTAAATAAGAGGCGATTGACTATTGATAACATAAATGATCACTTATTTCGTAAGGGGATAAATCTTTAGCATACAAGATGGATATGGCACAGTGAAAAAAGAACAATGCTATTGGCCAAAGAAGATGAAATTGTGCGTTGCTTAAATGATACAATGAGTAATATAATTCATGATATTGGAATGGGATTTTTTACACGATCACATATAAATGATAACTCATAGGGTGATGAGGAGATACCTTTATACCTTGAATGTTTTAAGTATATATTGTTGATAGTTGTGTTGAATTATTCAATTTAAAGACAACTAATAGGTAGACTTATAAAAGTTTGAAGGAGTTGCTTTAATTACTGAGAGATATGCTTCCAGCCAATAACATTCTTCCAAATAGTGTATATGAGGCAAAGAAAATCTTGTCTCAAATGATAATGGGCTATGGAAAGATATACTCTTGTCATAATAATTGCATATTATATAAAAAAAAGTATGTTGATCTTAATGATTATCCTAAATGTAAAACTTCACAGTACAAAATGAAGAAGAACACAAGTTGTGATGGTGATGTTAACAACACAACTAAAGAGCAACCTTTCAATGTATTGTGGTTTCTTCCAATAATACTATGATTTAAACTTTTTTTGGTTAATGCAATAGAGGCAAAAAAAGATGATGTGGCATTTATGATCTTATAAAAACGAGCTGGGTACTATAGCAGATAAATCATATAGGAGCAAACAGAACGACCAAGCCTTTGGTTTGTTTCATCGTGGATTGGGTACTTTATTTGACTAATAACTTCCAATTTTGTTAAGACTTCAACTATCAAATATTCCTAACGAACTAGCTAAAGGCTTAATTAACTATGTGAAAATGAATGAACTGATATAAAACACAGAAAATCTGACTTCCTAAGAATGAATCACGAGTGCCTCAGAGAGTCTCCTTAGTGACATTGTTGACAGTTGTTCGTGGAGAGTACTCTAAACTCTATGATTCTCTGTTGGAAACTAGCAAGGAGCTTTTCTAAGTAATCTCTAAAGATGTAACAAATTAAAAAGGCCTGTGACAATAACAGAACACTAATTTGCATGTCACAGAGCAATTGAAGGGCCTAATAGAAGGAACAGAGAAAGAAGCCATACTTGCGAAAGCAGGACAGGCCAAGTCATAAGTCTGATTTGCAAGTCGCAGAGCCATTCCATGCATTTTTTGCAGTTGCTGTCGTCTGCAATATTCTGCACATTAAACTCTATCCAAAAGAGTCTTCAACGATTCAATTCCACCAAAAGGATCCACAATGACACCCCATGTAACCGGCACCTGAAGTTGAACCCCACAGCGTTGAACAAGTTCTGGGAAGCGAGGCAACAGAAATTGACCCAAAAAGGAAAGCTTTTTCTCTATCATCCCTGCACCTCCTGTTGTTCCAGCCGATGGAATACCCAAGGGCGCATTCATAGAATATGGTCATGTCCACAACGGTTGGGTCGAAAGGAAACAGAGTAATGGGATGAAACTCTTACCAAGCTTGTGTATAATTTGAATGGGTCAAGGAACGTAACCCACATTCTATTTACTTCTCAGCAGGATTGGTTTGCAGTGAGGATTTTTAATTGGTCCTTGCTGGTCCCTCCCACCAGGAAAAATGAAGAAAATCTTGACAAGTCCACAAAGATGCTAAGAAGTTCAGGAAAACATGCGCACAAGATTATCTATCACCTTTGGTCATTAATATAGGAGTTAGATAATTAATTTACGAATATTAAAAAAATTAGATTATTTATTTGTAATTAGTGGATATTATCTTTTCTAAAATATTCTTATTATTCATATTCATTAGAATAGAAATATTTTAACATGTATAATCACCACCATGAAACTATTTTGATAATAAATAAATAAATATAAAAGACAAAATGGATTAGGGTCTTGTATTTATGACTAAATTGAATCGTCAACTAACTCTTATATTTAACATCGGAGGTAATATAAGTTAGCACCCTGATGTCGATTAAAGACCTATCTATATCTTATCTCGTACAAAGATGCTAAGAAGTTCAAGAAAACATGCACAAGATGATCTCTCACCCATAGTCCTTAATATAGAATTTAGATAATTAATTTACAAATATTAAAAAAAATTAGATTATTTATTTGTAATCAATGGATATTGTCTTTTCTAAAATACTCTTATTATTCATATTCATTAGAATAGAAATCTTTTAACATGTACAATCACCACCATGAGATTATTTTGGGAAAAAATAAATAAATATAGGAGATAAAATAGATTGAGGTCTTATATTTATGATCAAATTGAATTATTAACTAATTCTTATATTTAACATCGAAGATAATATAGTTTAGCACCCTGATGTCAATTAAAGACCTATGCATATCTTGTCTTGTCGTTTACTTGTCGATCAAAGAAGCTTTCCCGCAAAAGCTACCTCGGCACAGGTTCTTTTCATTGTATCAGGAAAAATGCCATCCTTGCTCTCAAGGATAATCACAATCTTATTCAATTTCTAATTATCTAGATCCTAAGATGTCTTTTTCTAACAGTTATACCAAAGAACCTATAGATTACCCCACTTGCGGAGTAGCTAGGCTGTATAAGAGATGCCAATCATCGTCTTTTTTTTTTTTTAACAATTATAATTTTGATCTGCGAAGGAGTTGGTTTTAAATAAATCCTCATCCCCCTCCTATTTTGATCTATTTTGAGATTATAGTGGAAATATAAGTTTAAGCACACCCAATGTGTTAATCCAAAAAAGATAAAGCAAACCCAGTGAAAAATGAAATAATGCCAACAAATCCGGC